AGAGCGCGCGGCGGGCGCTGGGTGGAGCCTCCCGGGTCCCACGCAGGTGGGGCTCAGGCGCCAAGGGCGGAGGACCCTCCGTGGGTCTCCTTTCCTCGCCCCGCTGCCCCACCCTCGCCCACAGCCTCTCCCGCCTCTGCGGACGCCCCGGGGTGTGCGCCCCGAGAGGAGGGAAGGAGTGCGGGATTCAGGCGTGAGTCCGGCCTCCCGGCGCGCGCACACCCACCGCAGGGCTCTGCGTGTCGGCGGGCACCATCCTTCCCGGGCTCCCCTCAGGGCCTGGTGCCCGCGCCCAGCTCGCCCTCCCGCCTGAGCAGGACTCCAGGGAAATGGAGGTGCTGGTAAGAGGTTTCATTTCTACGCAGAAGCACAAGGAAATGGCTCATTTCAGGGAGAATCCCAGCTGCTTTCCAGGGGAAACCGGAGGCGCTGCCCAGGGCAGTGTGGCCCAAGGGAGGTGGCTTTCCTGCTGAGGGCCAGCAGAGCCAGAAAGCCTGCATCTCTCACTCCTGGGGTCCAGTCCAGGCGTTGGGGTTGCCGTCCAAATTCTGGGTCCAGCAGGCTCCTGGTGTGAAGGGGGGTGGCTTTCCTCAGGCGTCACAGTCCTGGTGGTCTCCACCCCAGAGCAGGTGGCGCTGGTGATTGGGGGCATCATTGGGGGTCTGCTGCTGCTGGGTGTGAGCTGCTGCTTCTGGAGGAGGTTTTGTGCCACAGTCGCCTACAAGGAGCTGCCCCACACCGAGGCTGCCTCCCCCCGGCAGGGACACAAGCTCTGCCCCCTGCATGCCAGGACCCAGACAAGCAGGTGAGGCAGAATGGGGGCCCCAACAAGCTCTTGGCCTTGCTTAGTGCCCTCCTTGTGGTGTTTCCCTTGAAGGGGGGCAGGCAGGCAACTCTGTTTATGAAGCACAGCCTCTGTGCTGTGGCCATGCCACAACTGTCTCAAAGAAGGCCCAGAATCCTCAGCACAGCCCTGAGAAAGGCATTATGAAGCCCATTGTCCAGCTGAGAAAACTGAGGCTCAGAGGACATAAGTAGTAAGTGGGAGAACAGGCATTCAAACCCAGGCAGGTTGACTCCAGAGGCTGTGCTCCTCCACTCACCACTGCTGTGGGCAGGCAGAGTTCTTAGCTCTGGTTAGGGGTGGGGGGGGGCGCGAGGAGTAGCCTGGTGTGGGCCTGGAAAAGGTGCTTTTGCCTCCTACTGGCTCCCACTGGCTTCTCTTCCTCCAGCCCCTGGCACTCAACCCCTCTGGGCAAGCGCTCTGAGGCCACACCATTCCCTTGACACCTGTATGTCATCTCCCTGCCTCTGGACAGGCCACCAGATGTGCCATTTGTGGTGCCCCCTTCCCTTCAAAGCCAAGACTGGGTGCCCCTGCACAGCACAGAATGGGCCCAGGTGCAACAGGACCCCTGCCCAGCCTCGGAGCTCGTCCCCAACACCACCGGCAACAACCTTGGTGAGTGCTCCCACCAGGCCTGCCCAGAGGTCAGGGGTTTGGCTCTGGAGCATGGCCTGGATGGGCCCAGGGATGCCAGAGTTGCGCACTATTTCCAAGTACTTGAGTGTACCAGGTGCCTGCTGTAGCCCAACTGGGGCCAGATATGGCCTCATGTGCTGTTTTGGAGTTAGAGATCACCACCCACCTCTATAGGGAGAGGGACTATCACCCCATTTTACACATTCTTAAACAGGCTCCGAAGGTTAACCATGCCTTGCCCAAGGTCACAGAGACAGTAAGCTTGGAGAATGGAGCCCCAGTGTTTCCAGGGGCAGCACCTGTGCTGGGTCTGCTCCTGGATGATGGGCTGGCTGGTCCAGAGGGCAGATGGTAGGAGCTGGGCACGCAGCTTTCTGCCCACCTCTTTGGTCCCAAGGTTTCCCAAGAGACCTTCCCAAGATCCACCAATCATCAGCTTGACCCTTTTAATTTGAAGAGGAAGAAAAGAGGCAACACTTTGTCACTGAGACATCCTCTGGACACCACAGAAAGGCACCAGGCTAGGTGCTGGGTGCTGTGACTCCCCCAAGCAGGCCCTGACCTCTGGGAGTAGGGGTTGAATACTGGGGCTCTGCTAGGGCCCCAGGAGGAGCAGGCCTGGATGGACAATGCCTTAGTGCTGAGAGGCCTCCTGGAGGAGCTGCCCTACTGAGAGGGGCTGTGTTCAGTCAGGAGAGGCCTAGAAGGGATGGGCCATGAGAGGGGCGGTGAAGTCCAGAGCTTGCTGTCCCCCAGGACTCTGCCTTCCTCTGCCCACCAGACCTCCAGTCCCTGTGTTGCAGATGTGTGTGTGGTGGGGACCATCAACCCAGAGCTGTACAAGTTTCCGGAGGACAAGAGTGAGACCGACTTCCCAGAGGGTTGCCTGGGGCGGCTGTGGTTCTCTGTGGAATACCAGTGGGAGGCTGAACGACTGCAGGTGGGCCTGATCAAGGCACAGCGGCTCCAAGCCCCCTCAGAAACCTGCAGCCCCCTGGTGAAGCTCCACCTGCTGCCAGACAAGCGACGCTTCCTCCAGTCCAAGACCAAACGCAAAACCTCCAACCCACAGTTTGATGAGCACTTCGTCTTCCAGGTGCAGCCTCTGGAGCAGGCAGGGTGTGGGAGGGAGCAGGCATTGTGCAGGAGAGCCCAGCCCCTGTGCCAGCCAGGACCCTGCAGCCCTGCAGCCCTGCGCCCAGGCCCTGCCTACAGGAGCCTTGAATGCCCC